GTACTGGTATTTGTGCTGGTGCTTGTACTGGTATTTGTGCTGGTACTGGTACTGGTATTTGTAGTGGTGCTTATACTGGTATTTGTACTGGTACTGGTACTGGTATTTGTGCTGGTACTGGTGCCACGACTGCTATTGACACTCAAAGGCTGTGGATCGTAGAGTCATAGAGATGCACAAAAAAAAGCTTTAGCTTCTTGCACTGTACCACTGTCCCCAGTTCTCTCTGCTCATTCCCAGGCACAGACAAGCTGGCACCACCCTCAAATCACAACAGCCCTTTTTCAGACAGAAACAGCTTTTATTTTATCCATTTACAATTCTTGGCACAAACTAGTGGCCAGTTGGAGTGGAGCCCGCAACACTGACTGTGCCAAGCCGCCAAGTGCACCTTTACTGCTGTTTCTTCCCCATTCAACATCAACTTTCTTTTCTGACTTGATCTCAGGTTAAAGTGAGATGCCATGACCTTGAATTCTAACCCCCGAGACTGACACAGATAGCGATTCAGTGAAAGCTGAATCCTCTCGATGCTCTATTTTCAGAACTGGACATGGCAGGACGCCTTCTGAGGAGGTTGGGGAATGGCTTTGTTTCTGTCACACGAGAACTGCATAATGTCAACGCTGGGTTCACAGTTAGCACATCGACATCTGCACTGCATTGTTCAGAGATGCCTCCAAACTGAAATGGTTCCAATGTTAACGTGGTAAGAACATTGTGGATATCGAAACATAGAAATCTGGAGCAGGTGTAGGTCATTCGGCCCTTCGAGCCTGCTCCACCAGTCAATATGATCATGGCTGATCATCCAACTCTGTCCCCAGCTCCCACTTTCTCCCCATACTCTGTGATCCCTTTAGCCCTGTGAACTAATTTAACTCCATCTTGAAAACATTCAATGTTTCGACCTAGAACACATTCTATGGGAGAGAATTCCACAGGTTCCCCGCTTTCTGAGTGAAGACATTTCTCCTGATCTCAGTCCTAAATGTCCCACCCTGTGTCCTTAGATCGTGACCCCTGGTCGTTGGGATCATCCTTCCTGTATTTACCCTGTCGAGTCCTGTTAGAGTTTTGTAGGTTTCTATGAGATTCCCCTTATTCTTCTAAACTCCAGTAAATACAGACCTAACTGATCCAGTCTCTCTTCAGACATCAGTCCTGCCATCCCAGGGATCAGTTGGCCCATATTCCCACTTTTTCTCTCCATATCTTTTGAAGTGTTAAAAATCTAAAAATTTCTTACGATCTTTCCTGAATTTACCCAATGACCGGGTCTCCATGGCTTTCTATGATCGAGGATTCCACACAGGATGCTCACTCTCTGAGTGAAGAAATGTCTCCTCATCTCAGTTCGACATGGGCTATCCCAATATCCTGAGACAGTGACAGCCTGATTCTCAAATCCCCGACCAGGGGAAACACATTGACACACTCAGGCCACATGTCAACGCTTCACCCTTGCTGTGACCCCCGGGTGTGGGTGAAATATCAGTGAGTGGGTTGGGTGTTTAAACAGCAAGATACAGGCATGAAGAAACATCTGAGGCACATCCCATTTTGTACACTCTGTCGGTGTCAATGCTGAGACCAGATGGACCATTGGATTAGGCTATGACCACAGGGTAAGGGGCCCAGTCAGGTTTTAAAAAGAACATTCATGGGATGAGACATCCCTGCCAGCATTTATTGCCCATCCTTAATGTATGAAATAGGAAAAGATGAAGGCCATTCAACCCCTGAACATTGCTCTGCAATAATCACTAACGTTAGAGCCAATCCCAGGGCAGTCATATCTCAGCCTTCACTCCACATTGATGTCTGGGAGCTCACAACCCTGACTGCTTGACCTGTGATCCCTGCCAGGGGTCACAACCCACGGTTTGGAAACCCCTGCCTTAAACTCTTTGGCTCCAGTTCAAGGCCAGCGAAGACTTAAGAAGACAACATCTTCTTTAAGATCTTCAGGCAGTACCTTCCAAACCCACGACCACTTCCATCTCGAAGGACAAGGGCATATGGGAACACCATCACCTCCAAGTTACCCTCCAAGGCACTCACTTGGAAATATATCACCGTTCCTTCACTGTCGCTGGGTCAAAATCCTGGGATTCCCTCCCTAATGGCATTATGGATCAACCCACAGCACATGGACTGCAACGGTTCAAGAAGACAGCTCACCCCCACCTTCTCAAGGGGCAATTAGGGCAAGAAATGCTGGCCCAGCCAGCGACGCCCACATCCCACAAGTAATAAAAACCATCTGCCTTGGGATTATTAGGAAGTTGCCATTTGAACGAGAGTTATTGTTATGTGGGATTGTGATTGTGTAGTTTGCTACATAACAATTGTCTAAATGATATTGAAGTCTGGACTGCATTTACCTGTTAATCAAGAGTGACAACATATTCCCTCTGGTTTAAATAAGAATGAGAAATTACGTTAGACAAATAGCATCTAATTTGTTCACATCCAGAACAAGCTGTTAGAACATGACAAATAGTTATTCCTTCTTCAAACGACCATGATGGGAGCCAGAGATTGGCTCACTTGTAGCTTGTAGTTTTGATTCCGTCTTTAATACTGTCCTTCAGCCTTGACTGGAAAATGCAGTTCCTGCCCTGTTAGTCACAGACTTACTGCCTTCTCTCTGGGTCATCATACACATGGAGCACCCTGTTCCCTAGCATCATGGATACATTGGCCATTGGAACTCCGTTTGAAAGGATGCAATCTTTATTCCCTGCCAACTACAACATTTTCTGAATTTGAAATAAAATTGTTGGGGCTGGGGTCTCAGGGTCTACAGGGTATGGGGCCAGTCAGGATTTTTTAAAAAATCATAAGATGTGACATCATTTATTGCCCAGAGTTGACTGAATTGCTGTGGGAATGGAGTCACACGTAGGCCAGACCAGATAAGGATAGTAGAACCAGAGGGGTTTTTCCCCTGAAAAATCAGCAATGGACTCATGGTCATCATTAGACTCTTAATTCCAGATTTTTTTTGGTGTGGAATTCAAATTCCTCCATCATCTGTAGTGGGATTTGAACCTGAGTCCCCAGGAAATTATGGGGGTTTTACTGGATCAACAGTCTAGTGATAATACCACTAGGCCATTGCCTCCCCAGAATGGTCATGCCTTGTACTCCCAGCAAATAAAGCACACAAGTGATTTCACTGAATACGACAAAAAATCTTGGGGCTCCCGCTCCAAAGTCTTTATCAACGTTTTTTACATTTTTGTGGCAAAATTATATTTCTGGGCACTTGCCTATTTTGTATTTGATCATCACCTTCTTTGAGAATTCACTGATCATCCCAGCTGTCCATTGGGATCGAGGCCAGATCCCTTTTATCATCCCTGAGTAGCTTTCCTTTGAAGGTGAGATCTGGATTGACTCACCATCCAAGTTGAGTTCCCTCCAGGTGGTAAAATTGTCATTTTGATAAGCAAAGCCCAGGGCTCAATATGTGGCCAACATCGATGCAGAGAGAGAGTATTCTGTCAAACCTCTCGCAGCACATTCCATTAAAAGATCATACTGTCAGGTTGGAAACTGTCCCTTTTTATCATTACACCTTTTTTATTATAAACTGCACTGCACAAATCTATTTTTGCCAACACGTACAGTTTGACCCTGAAAAATTCTTTTCAGAGAAAGCTTCAATTATGATGGAATGTTTTGGAAAGAGGGACGACAAAATAATCATTTCAATTAATTTTGAAGATTTAAAAAAGGCAGCCAAGAATGTAATCGGATTTTCCATTTTTTTTAAAGCTCCGACTTAACGTATGCAAACCTTAAACCCTCTCCATAAGTCGGGACAGTAACCATCCCCTGATCCTCACTTGTGTCCTTTATTTTTAAGAAAACTTGTACTCATTAGAGGGTTAAACTTAAAGCAAATAGATTCTCACAAAGGTGGTCAATTATGAAAGGTAAACAGCCCACAAATTCAACCTTACCTGAGGTCGTGGAAGTGCTGGTTGAGCTAATATGGATTGCTATGGCAACCAGACTGCTGCTGTGTTTTGGGATGTCAGAGATTGAGAGAGTAACGGGAAGCCTACTGGTAGATTGCTTTCATGTTGTACTGTATCTACTCTCTGTTTCTGCAGTTCTGGGTTTGGAGCCTGTCTTGTTTTGTTTTTCATTCCCCTGCCCTACCCCACCCCCCTTCAGTGTTCAACATGCCATTTATTTCGGAATATTCCTTTCTGTAAAACCTCCTGAATTTTTCCATAATGCAGGAGGAGCAGGCACTGTCCTAGTTAGGAACCTCACCTTTTGAAGTACTTAAATGAAATCAGTTACGATTTCACAAAGTGGTTGATCGAAGAGTCTGCAGGAGAAAGTGCTCAAAACCATAAAATATTCTATTTTTGCCTCACAAAAGAATTTGGCTGGGGAAGAGAATTCCATTAATCTTACATGACAATGCAGCAGACTGGGAAGTATTTATTCCATCAACTAATTGTAAAAATACCCCGTGACAGAATATGCTGAAATATTCATCCAATTTAAGGATTGCACACTCATTACTCTGCTGTGCTGCCTTTATAACATTATCGCAAACTTATCCTGAGTGTGTTTTGTCTGTAAACATATAATTTGATGCACTCTCCTTTGTAATAGTTAATATAATAGACTCCCAGAATAATAATCTGACATAAGAACATCCCATCTTCATGTTTTAGCTCTTACACTGTTCCAGCAAATGCTAACACTCGATATAGACAGAACATCAAATTCAGTTTCCTGATATTTTGATGTAAAATCTCTCGGGCGAGCTGATCCACATTTTGTTTCTTGGGGGAAAGATTTCCCTTCCAAGTTTATTTCAAGATTTATTTTTCAAAACGCAGCTCCCTTCAGCTTCTAGCCACGCATGTGTGATACTTATTGGAGAGTAAGGTTTATTTAAACTGTGCTCTTTCATGGATTCTGGCTGTTGATGGTAAGGATGGAATTATTACCCTCCCCTTCCCTTATTAGCCTTGAACAGAGCGGCACATGAGGCTATTTCAAAGGGTAGTTATGAGTCAATCACATTATTATGGAGCTGGAGGCCAGTGACCTTCCTTCCTTAAAGGGGTGACCAAGGACCAAAGGGGTTTTGACAACCATCAATGATAATTGTCACAGTCACCATTACCGACAGTAGCATTATATCACAGATTTATTAATTGACTTAAAACTCCAGCAGCAGCACCGTTGAGATATGAACCCATGCCCCCACTGCATTAACCTGGCACTCTCGGATTACTGGACCAGTGACATTATCACAGTGCCACTACCACCCTGTGCACTAGTCTCCAGGCTGTGGTATGGCAGGGTGCCCTCACATCTTAGAGGGAGCATTACTGATGAAACAATATCCAATTATCGCAAACAATTTACTGAAGCTCAAAACTTCACACGCTGCATTAACTTTCTTCCGAGAGCTTTCTTTGCCCCAACCTGTTCGTCACAAGGGATTTTATCTGCAATGTCTTCATCTGCCTAGCTCCTCCACAAATTCTCTCCCGGACCTCCTCTGCCTCTCTACTTTCCCTACGATGCTCCACAGGACCTATCTCTTTGGCCAAGCCTCAGGCTTTCAGCCTCAATATCCCTTCATGTGGCTCACTGTCAATTTCTCTTTGATAGCACTCCTGTGGAGCCACCTTGGGACACTTTACGATGTCAAAGGTGCTATGGAAATGCAAGGTGTTGAGTGGGAAGTGAAGGAAAGCTGCTGGATATCAATTGAAGATAAATAAATAAAGAAGGAAGAAACTAAATTTCTTTCAAAGTGGGTTACGTGAAGAGAGTGACAGTGTGACCTTATAAAGGAGGGGGATGTGTAAAAGTTAATGCTATCATTGCTCAGATGGCAGTATTTTATAAGAAAAGTCTGGGATAGATAATGAACTTGTGTGACCTTTCTGTGCAATCTTTCAGAAACCCAAGTCATACTGTTTGGCTGCTTCTACCTATATCTTCTGATTTAATTTGCTGCCTGTTTAAATAAAACTAAAATGACAATTTCACAGCTTTTGACCTTGAATTCACTTCTCATGTTAAGGCACAATGACTTGTCCTAACAACCAGAATGAAATATTTGATGGATGTCTGATAAAGCAGCAAATATGTGTGCAGGGACATTTTTCTTTCCCTCTTTGTGTATCAACTCTATTAGCCCTTTTAGCTCTCAGCTTGAAAGGACAATTTTCTCCTTACAATTGCACACTCTGCCCTTAGCACAGACTGCAACCCATGACACTGCATTAATCTAAGACTCATTCACTTGAACATTATCTTCCCATTAGCACAGCCACTCCAATCACAGATTATCATTAACTAAGGAACACATTTGCTGGATTTCCATTGAATTAATTCACAAGTTTAAAAATGCTGCACGCTGCTGTTACTTTCTCCAAAGTTTTTTAGAATGTTTTGATGGCTAAATTAAACATGAAAATCGCTTGGACTACCTCGACAGTTATTCACCAAAACTGCAATTTCTGGTATTCGTTTCCAGAAGTGAACAGCCCAGCAGTGTGTACTATCTAAAAGATGCACTGCAGAAATTTACCAAAGATCCTCAGACAGCACCTTCCAAACCCACAACCACTTCCATCTAGAAGGACAAGGGCATATACGCATGGGAACACCACCCACCTGCAAGTTCCCGTCCAAGCCACTCGCCATCCTGACTAGGAAATACATTCCTGTTCCTTCACTGTCGCTGGGTCAAAATCCTGGAATTCCCTCCCCAGTGGCATTGTGCGTCAACCTACAGCAGGTGGGTTGCAGCGGTTCAAGAAGGCAGCTCACCCCCAACCTTCTCAAGGGGGCAACTAGGGACAGGCAATAAATGCGGACCCAGCCAGCGATGCCCACATCCCTCAAAATGAATAAATTTTTTTTAAAAATCATGGTTGTTTTGTGAAGAGGACTTTGGAATTAATGCTCTCAAAAGTGCCCACTTATCCTGTTTCTCATGTTGTGACATTCAAAAGGCTGAAATCAGGCCAGTTTGTCTTCAGATTTTATAAGTTATTCATATGTTCTTTGTGCAGATTTTGTACTTAGCAGGATGCGACTACCCAGTTTTATGACCTTGCGAGGCGAATATCTTTGCACTAATGAGGATCCTAGGGCAGACAAGCATTCATAGAAAGCTGATGGCTCAAATAGAAGCAAAGTACTTTGGATGATGGAAGAAGTTCTTCAGAAAACATTCTGAAGGACAACCAAACCGGACCTGAACCGTTCATAGACTCCTACAGGGCCTTCAGCCCATCGAGTCTGCACCAACAAAAAACTACTCTAAATCTACACTAGTCCCAATTTCCCACACTAGAATGATATCTTTGAACGTTATAACGTTCCGAGTGCTCATTCAAGTACTTTTTGAAGGTTGTCAGGTTTCCTTTCTCCTTCTTATTCGGTCCTGACTATTCCTCGGCATCCAGGGTTCACTCGGCTTGTTCCTCACCCGAAAGGGAACATGTTGAAACCAAGCTCCTCCTGCCTTTAATTAAAAATCCAATTTCCAAAATGATAATGATAAGTGCATTATCCCTTAATCAGACCACCATTTCACAAAAACATGTTTCTCGTGTCGCATTTGTTCATGCCTATCGCATTGTTTTGGAAGGGAGATCATTATCGACAAAGGCACACCAACACAAAACACAGACAGAGCTGGCAGTACAGTAACAGCCTTTGGGTATTAATCCTGAGACTCAGGTAATGTTCTGGGGACCTGAACCATAACTGATGGTTGAATTTGAATTCATTAAAAATCTGGAATTAAGAGTCTGATGTGACCATTGTGAATTGTCAGTAAAAACACATCTGGTTCACTAATGTCCTTGAGGATGGAAATCTGCCCTCCTTGTCTGGTCTGGCCTACGTGACTCCAGACCCACAGCAATGTTCACCCTTACCTGCCCATTGGGGCAATTATGGATGGGCAATCAATGTTAACCTGGCCAGTCACACCCACACTTTCTGAATGAATAAAAGAAATTGGGCCCAGTAAAGCTGTCAAGGTAATGGAGATCAGGACAGCAGAAAATATTTTTGTTCACCAATGTTTAACCTTGACTGGATGCCTCTCACTGTCTCATTGTTCAATCTATCTATATAAGATTTGAATAGTTGCAGATGACACAAAAATAGGTGGAAAGGCAAGTGGTGAGGATGCCACACAGAGTCTACAGAGGGTAAGCCAGTGGGCAAAGACTTGGTGATGGAATATAATGTGGGGAACTGTGAAGTTATGTACATTGGCAGGAAGAAAAGAGGAGTTGAATATTATTTAGACGGAGAAAGCGCAGAAAGCCCTAGTACAGAATAAATTGGGTGTCCTACTGCATGAATCACAAAATACTAGCATTCAAGTTCAGTGGTTAATAGGGTGTGCCAGCCTTTATTTGAAAGGAAATGGAGTATAAATGGCCTGGCTAAAACTGTACAAGGCACTAGTCAGAGCACATACTGGAATATCGTGAATGGTTTCAGGCACCTTATCTGGATGCAGTGCAGGAAAGGTTCACTAGGCTGATCTCAGGTATGGAGGGACTCTCTTATGAGCTGAGATTGAGTAGATTGGGCCTGTACTTTTGCGATTTAGCACAATGAGAGACAACCTTATTGAAACATGCAAGATGCTTAGGAGATGTAACAGGGTCAATACCCTGTTGGGAAAATCTAGAAGCAGAGGGCATACTCTCAGAGTAAGGGGTCACACAAAATAAAGACAACGATGAGGAGGAATTTCTTCTCTAAGAAGGTTGTGAATGTGTGAAATCCTTTACCACAGTGGGCTGGTGAGGCTGGGATGGACAAATAGAATCAAGGGTTATGAGGAAAGGGCGGGAAAGTGGAGTTGAGGATTATCAGATTAGCCATGATCTCACCGAATGTGAAACAGGTTCAAATGGACTGAATGGCCTAATGATGCTGTTATGTCTAATGCTCGAATTGCTTTCACCTAAAAGCAGGTAGAGAGTGGGAATGGAAGGGAAGGGATTGGGTACAGTGATGAC